AGAACATCTATGAATTTGTAGGAATGCTGAATATTCTTAAGTGCACTTTATGTATTCTGGCTCGCTGCATAATAACCCCCATATTTAAATATGTGCGTGGATATTTTCCATAAAATTTAATCATAGCATATATGAATGGGCCTCCGCTTGTAGTTGGAGATGCATGAATTTGATTATTTTAAGCCCATAATAGGGGATATCTTTTGAAGTATGCTATAAAGATCTAATATTGGTATTAGGGGGAGAGACAACCTATTTTGAATGCCAAATATTATTTCCACAGAAGGAAAATGATCTAAAGAAAATATTCCTCGAAGCTTGAAGTAGAAATATTATCACGTACTAAATCAAACAATAGTTTAACAAATGCTCTTATGAAGCATAAAGAGGAGCATATGCCAGATATTTTTTAAAAATGAGAGGAGTAACTTAAAGTTATAAACCAGAAATTTTTACTAGTAGTAAACTAAGTATTATATACTATTAAGCTAAAATCTATGGGGACACATGTGGATTCTAGTTTAGTGTATATTTGTCAAATGAAATAAGAACAAACTCCTCCATTCTCATGAAGAGAATACCTCATGAAAAAGTTAAGCACCTCATGAAGAGGATCATCATGAAGATGAAATCTAACACACTAAGCGCGCGCATCATTAGTGTTGGGTATACAGAACAACAAATCATCTCTTGTTTGGAAATAACAAAGAGATAGAATAATCTCACATTGTGAGAATATTGGGAGAAAATAATAGTTGTCGACAACACTACCTCTATAATTACAAATGTTTCTCTTATGAGAACCCGAATGTAGAAAACAAAGTTCATGGCAAAGTCGCTTGTAGCGATTATATTAGGTCAATGAAGAAAGCAATTGAGGTTGAATCTCCTACTAGAAAGAAATAAATGTTCTGCTATATCTCTGGCAAATGAATTGGATAAATATGAAATATGCAATTAATAAGTGGATTATGAAAATCCATATAATTTCTGAAGAATATAAATCGCAACATGTGAAAATTAAATGTCATACCAAGTGTTAAAAGGTCTAAGGTATAATACATTCTTGAAAGAGTATTAAAGTCTCAAGAAGAGCATGTTTTAGAAGGAATAAAGTCATCAAATGATTTTGTAGTGAATACACTATCTTATTGTGTATATCATATAATAATCTCTCATGTAGTAGAGAATATATCTCATAGAAGAGAAATGTTATTCGCCAAAAATGAGAAAGTCCTTGAAGGAGTTAATCCATGAAGGATTTACCAGTCAATTCTTGAATAAACACCATTAATCCCTAAAGTGAATAGAGACCCGAGAGAAAGGAAATGAGGAATCTTAAATACCATGAATGTGTCATACAAACACTTAAAAAGTGCATATTGAAAGGCTAGCAATGAAGTGATGATATCCTCTAAATACCATAGAAGATATAAGAATAATGATAACTTTGGCAATTGAATTATCCCCTAAATGCCAAATGCAAGACTAGATTTATTATTTAGTGGTACAATCAAAATCTTGAAGATTTGTAGAACATATAATTGGAAAATACACGAAGAAAGAATTATAAGTATTCAAACTCTAGTATAAATTTGATATACAATCTAGAAGATATTGAATATTGTAATTTATTTACCTCCGTAATCATCTGAAAAGATTTATTACCCTGAAGGATAATTTTTTTTTTGCTCAACTAATAAGTGATCATTTAGACATGAAGCATATTGCTCTTGTTTACTCACATCATAATTCATAGAAGAATTACGAGCCAATATTTTGAAAGATATAGTATTGCGGTACTGCATGCCATTATTAAACACACATTTATGAAAAGTGTGGTTTAAACAATGATGTTTAAAGGATGGCTTTATGAGGGGGAGTAATTTATTTTAATCTACCTTGAAGGTAATTAAACCGTTAGAATTATCAAGATCAAGTAGATCATATTTGCTAAAAACGTTGAAGTTTATGTATTTATCATGAAGATAAATATCTATTCAAGAAGAATAGAATATCCTGAAGAATACATGACCAAGAAGATTAAATGTTGTGCTCTTTTTTCCCTATGTGAGTTTTTACTTAAAAGTTTTTCACACAAGATTTTTAATGAGACAACTTGTGCAATGCAATTAATGAATGCGATGTACTCTTTTCTCTAAGAACCATTTTTTCCTACCGGGTTTTTGAATGAATTTTTTAATGAGGCATGTGCATATAGTGGTAATCGCTCAAGAGGGAGTGTTATAAAACATACGGACTCTATCCTAGAAGGAAAGACGAAGGAGAAATCATAATCCTAGTCCATTTATATGTGAGCTCTTACCAAACTCTTAGGCCTTGGCAGGACTATATATATGTGGGAGCTCTATGTTGTAATTACCAATGTTGAGAGGAATAAAGAATAGTCTCCCTATTTTGTGTCTATTTATTCTTCTACTTTCATCTACTGTGTTGATCATGAGAGACGAAGAGGGGAAGGTCCTAACCACTGACAACATGTTTTATAACAGTATTTAAACTCGCGCCAGTTAGAGCGGCGAAGATGGTTCCCACTGCAATGAAGGCTGGTTACCTCCTGTTAACATGGCGGTAGCTCATTTTTTCTCGAATACACAAAAGATTTGTTCATCGTTATATTAAGAAGAAGAGTTTAACCATATAAACGACGTGCCTCTATGGAGTGTCCTAGGTGGTTGACAAAGACAGTCTGAGGCTGGACCGTCCTAGCCTGCGGACTCAGGCTCCAATATTACACAAATGGTATACAACCGTCACAGTTTGGTCTTTTCAAATCTTATTTTTATCTATAGAACGAATAATTAGGGGGCTTAGAAAAATTTGAATCTTCAAAATAGATGTAAAAAATAAGCACAGCCCATTTTACTAATATCTAATATCATAGCTTTTGCAGTATTGAAACTAATATTATTAGTAGAATGTTATATTTGAGTTTTCGGTTAAGATGTTTAGCCCTAAAATATTGTTCAACAATTTAGAAAAAACGTCTAAATTTATGGTTGAGAAGTAGTATTTTATCATGTAATTTCTAAGCTTATATGCTCAAGTGAAGTTCAAACTTTTTTAATACAATACATGCTGAAAATTAAGCTTTGTTTTGATATTAAATTTAAATGCTTTCTAAATAAGCTAAAAGTTTTCATGGATTCTAAAGACAATGGACATGTGTCATAAAATTTGGAGAGAGATGACACGTCTCAAAATTTTGAGCTTGTTTTCAATTCATTTAACTTTAATATAAAAACAAAATCTAACTTTGTGCATGTGCTTTACTAAGGAATTTTGGATTGCACTTGAGCATGCATGCTGATAAATTACATGATAAAAATACTACTTTCCAAGCAGATAATTTAGATACTTTTTTTTAAATAGTTTGGGGCTAAATAACTCAACTGAAAACTCAAATATAGTCCCTCCATACTATAATATAGTGCATTCTAGCATTCAAAATTTATCCTCAAATATAATGCATTCTAGAGTACAAAAACCAGTTTTGCATTAAATACTTTTCATTTATCAACCAATCACCATCGATCACGTTGATGATAGTGTTTGATTAGAAAATAAAATGATGGTTCATGCAACTTTTATATTCTCTCTTAATTTGTCCTAAAATTCTTTAGAATGCACTATATTACGAGACAGAGTGAGTATTATTTTGTGAAGAATATTAATTTTAAAACTGCAGAAGTATGATGCTAGCTGCAAGTAAAATGGTGATGCTTGATTTTAACATCAATTCGAATGATTACAAGAACAAGTAGAGCAGATGTTAAAATCTTGTAATCTTTTAAATTGATGTTAAAATCAAGCATGCCTCATTTACCTATATCTCGCATCACAGTTGCTGCAGTTTTGAAATTAATATTCTTCACAGAATGCTATATTTTGAGTTTTGGGTTGTGTTGTTTAGCCGTAAAACGCTTTAGTCTTCCTTAGATCCGGCTAAAAAGAACGGTACTGCATTCTAGTCTTCCTTAGATCCGGAGTGCTAATCCTTAATTTGTCAGATGAGTCCAGGGAACCTGTGACATTCTAGTGCTATAGTGGTGGAGGGCATCACATTAGCATCAGCGGGGCACTAATAATTTCTGCTCTTGAAGGATGCTCAGACATTCAGGTACTGATAGTAATGCTGCACACGCTCTGCTCTGGGCACCGAAACTGCCGCCGCAGGCCGCACCTGCGCAACAACCGCTGCGCCTTCTACTCGTGCGCTGCTGCCCTAGAAGAGAAGACCCTGGTGCGCCGCAGTTGTTTGCTCTTTTCGTTTTTAGGTGCTGTTTAGTTTCCTTCCATTTTGCAAAATTTTTCAAGATTCTCCGTCACATCGAATATTTAGACGCATGCATGAAGCATTAAATATAAATAAAAAATAAAATTAATTACACAGTTTAGACGAAATTCACGAAACGAATCTCCAAAACATTTCGCGAACTAAACAAGCCTTGCCAGTTCGCCAGTTTTGCGGCCCTGCTGCCAGGCATTAACTGTAGCGCAGGCCGGCCCTCTGCGAACTGCAGTGCAAGTAAATTCAGTCAGAAGCGGGGCCGGTATTACTGCTGATCGAGCCAAACGCCGCCTGGTCCCCCCGGTTTCTATTCCCTCTCCTTGCATTTGGAACGAAGCAGAAACTGAGAGGCAATACTTTTCGATAAGAGGTGGAATGGAATCGTCTCACGGACACCTTTTCCTTCCTGTGTCACTGTGTGAAAGCAAATCATCTTTGATTCAACTGTTACTCTCTCTCTCTCTCTCTCTCTCTCTCTCTCTCTCTCTTTCTCCCGCATTTCTAGTTCAAACCAAATTCAAGAGCCTGAGTACCGCATCTTTTCGATTTTCGAATTTTTCATCCACGCAGGTTATCAGCATTTATTTTGGTGTACATACAAACAAGCAGCGATCCACATCAAAATGTGGCGACAGGCAACATCACGGACCCAAGTACAAACTCTGCTCGGATTCACAAAAGGATTTCGTCAGAACCGGACAACAACACGACACACACCACCACCCCAGTGCTTCCGCTGCACTGCAGGCTGCAGCCCAGAAACCCGCGGCCTCTGAGCCGCACGCGTGCACGGCAGGAGCGCGACAAGACGCCGCGGGTCGCGTAGCCCCAGCCCCTCGCAGACCGCAGCAGTTACACAGCGTCACCCGCGCAGCGTGACGACCCCCCAACCAGCCTGACATCTGCAGCAGCTGCAGTGAAAGGCCGGCGGCTGTTTGGGCACGTGCCAGCCGGCCACCCACCAAGCTTTCGCGCGCGTTTTCGCGCCATCTTTCTCTTGTTTCTTCTACCTGCCGATACCAACGGGAGAGCCACGAGCCCCACTCCATGGTCCTCCTCCTCCATCACCATCACCGTCTCCGATGATCCATGCCGAGACGTTGGTTGCTCGTCGCGAGTCAGGGCGTGCCTCGGAGATGCTAGCACAGATTATTGGTGACTTCGCCCGTGGAGGACCCGGTGACAACGGCGGGAACAAGGGTGGTGCCCGCGGTCCCGAAAGGCCCTGCTCTTATCAAGACTTCTTGGGACACATCAGCTCACGTTCACGTCGACTGTGGAGCCTCTGGATGCGGAGCATTGGCTTCGGATTCTAGAACCGAAGTTTCAGCTGCTCAACGTGACTGACGAGCACAAGGTGCGCTTTGCCGCACAGCAACTTCTGGGATCTGCCAGTGCTTGGTGGGATACTTTTAACGCCATGCAGCTTGTGGACCACCATGTGACTTAGCGAGAGTTTACCACTGCTTTTCGTCGCGGCGGTGGGAGACGAGCTTGGCGGCGTCGCGCCACCACACCACCTCGCGCTCCTTCTCGTGGAGCCTGTGTTGCGCGCTGTCCAGCGCCGACTCCAGCTCCACGATCCGATCCTGCTGCCGCTTCTGCAGCAGCTCGTGGAGCCGCCGCTCCAGCGCGCGCGCTGACACGCCGCCGTGCGGGGGGCTCATCCTGTCCTCGCCGTAACCCCCATCTTCCTCGTCGTCATCCTCCTCGTACTCCTCCTCCTCGTAGTCGTCATCCTCACCATTGCCGTCCACTTCATCATCATCGCCGTGCTTGTTGGCACCGTCGTCGCCGTTGTCCACGCCGCTACGCGACGTGCTATCGTCGGCGTCGCCCTTCTTCGTCTTCACCTTCAACAGTGGCAACTGCCGGCAACGGCAGACACATCAGCAAGACGAACACGCGTCGCGTCACTCGGACGTACGGTGTTCTACGTGTGGGATGGTACGTGGCGTACTGGTGATTCGTGGCAGGGTGGGCAATTCAACCCGTGCGGAACGTACCTCGAGTCCTGGCATCGGGGCGATCCGGCTGTCGCCGCCGTGGCCGTGCACCGTACCGCCGTGCTGGCGCTGCTGCATGCGGCTCAGCTCGGACTGGAGCTCCGCCTCAATGAGGTCCATGACCACGGCTGCGCGGCCCGAGACGACCGCGGTGTCGGCCGCCGTGCGGGAGCAGTTGGACGCCGCGTCGGCGTCGGCCGCGGGGAACGCGATCGGGTCCTTCACGGCGGTGGTGGTGGCGCTCCTGCCGTCGGATTCCTGCGAGGTGGACGGCGCAGCGGGGTGGTTCGCCTGCTTCTCCTCCTCCGCCTTCCACCGCGCCGCTTGCCTGATCTCCGACACCAGCGCCTCCATCTGCGCGCGCAGCTCCACCATCTTGTTCAGCTCCACGGCGCTCTTGGACAGCAGCAGCACCAGGCTCGCGCCCAGGCCCAGGTTCATGGACACCAGCTCCTCCTCCGGCTTCTTCCTCCCTGCGGAATCCATCAAAGTTTCAGCATTAGCGTCACTGATCTCGATGTTTCCGTAATTGAAGCAAGCATTATATTTTTTTCCTCTGTTCTGAATTAGTAGAAGATTTAGTGTACGATCCTCCTGCCTCGGCATGCCGAACCTAGAGAACTCCGTGGCGTCTCGAGGGGCAGTTCCGGCGGCGGCGGTGGCGGTGGCTCCACGACCTTAACCCGGGGAGTCTCCCCCTGCTCGGCGCCGTCCTTCCGTTCCTCCCTCAGGCCGCCGCCGTACCGCCGGGGCAGCCGCACCCGGCACCCGAACCCTCCCGCGCCGTCCCCGCCGCCGCGCAGAAGGATGCGGGACAGCAGCGACCGCGGCGACGGCTGCGCGTCCACCCCGCTCGCGGTGCGCGCCAGGTGCGCCCGGATGGACGCCGCCGCAGCAGCATTCGAGGGATTCGCGGCCGCGAGGCGCGGCGGCGGAGGCAGGGGCAGCGACGAACCCGCCTCCTCCCTTACCCTTCCTCCCGCTCGACCTCTCACGCAGTTCTCCATTGAAACAGCGATGGAATGGAACAAGCAAGCTAAGCTAAGCTATAGCCGCCTGCCGAGGAATTCGAATTCTTGGACACGCCTCGTGCTCCGGCGGCACGCCGCGTATTTATAGGAGAGAAGGAGAAGAGGGCGAGGAGGAAGAAGAAAGAAGCTCTCCTCTTCCGGAAAGGCGCGGCAACTTTGGAGGGAAGCTCAGCAAGTTTAAAAAGGCTGAAGGGGGTTTTAAATGCTGGTACTAATCAAGACGATGAATGATCTTGGAAGCTTGCTTGGGTTGCGCTAATGGCGGGATGACCCCACCGTCCCAGGCAATTGGAGGCGCAGGGGAGGAGGAATTAACTGCGGGGCGAGCAACCATGTTGATGCTGCTGCTGCAGCCTGCAGGCCTGCAGGGGAAGAGAAGCTGCTACTGGTAACTGCGCGCTCTGCCGTGCTGCCATTTTTACCTTCTGCATGCAATTGGAACTGTGAATTTCTGAGTGGTTACTGACGGCCGAACCAAGCAGAGCAGAGGTTGGGCAGTGCCAGGGCCAGGGAATTTCCTTCTGGAGACTGGAGGGTGTGTCCTCATGTCAGCGGCTGTGTTACTGCTGCTGTGCTGCTTGGGAGAGGGAGCTGCAGCCTGCAGTTGCAGTCTTGCAGGGTGCGTAGGCAGGCAGCAGCTAGGCATAGGCATTTTTGTGGGCCGGAACTAGGTGGTCGGAGCCGTTGGATGGAGCATCGGACGGCTGAGATTGAGGCCGGCGAAACGAGTGGTGTAGCAGCATCGTGCAAGTGAGCCACCAGCAAAGCAATACGGCCATACGGGTGGTGTAGGTGTAGCAGCATTGTTTTTCACCACACTGGATTAAAATTTTGAAATGCGTGCGTGGTGCGCCAATGAAGTTGTGTTACGTGAAGTACATTGTGGTTAAAGGAGACAATTATGGCAAAGTTCTTTACAAGACACAACTTGATATGACACGGTCTTCCAAGTTACAGTACAATTTAACCATCTGTTTATTTTATTTTATATTATTTATATTTACAAATCTATCCCTATCAAGTTTGTGTTATAATAATTAAAAATTGTTAGCCAAATTATTGGTCGAAGTTTTAAGTTTGAATCTTGATATGCCATTTGCACCTTATAAATAAAAAAGAATGGAGGTAGTAATCCCTCCGTTGATTGCAAGAGAAAGAGTAGTCCGATTGCATTGCACCTGTTGTTATCTAACCAGTAAAAGTTTGTATTATTAGTAGATCGGTTCATTGCAAATTTAAACGCTTTTGTTTTCGGTTTTCCTGATCTACTCTAAAATACTATAATTATGGCGTAACCTAGTTCAATCCTGCGTGTTCGTCTCTGATCGAAAGACATGACATACATGATCATGGCCCTAGCTAGCTGGTTGGCTCTTCCGTTCTTGTGGCCACATGATGGTGAGTTACGTTACCTAGCCAGTCAAGTGTGGTCATGTGTCATGACACCACATGGCGATTAGAGGTACAATACAACGCTCGTACTAACCTCCGTGTTAACTGCGAATTCGAATTGAAACGTTGAAGAATTAAATGGAAGCTCCACGGATTTACTCCCAGGTTAAAAACGCTCCAGACGATAGAACGGAAGGGCTTAGTCTTTGACCGTTGAGTTCAATTCAAATTCGTTCGTCAACAGTAGTCGCCATATTTCAGTCAGCTGTGTAACGCCAAACTTAAACCAACTGTTGCGCGTACACGATTAGGGCGATAAATACTTGCGGTCTGACTGACTGACGACACACTGTAAGTGATTAAGTGAATGCTTGCGTACTGCATCCTCAAAAAGTTACGGTTACGGCCTAAACACAGCAGTAGGGCGCAGTTCCAGTTCGTACGTACACTTTCTCCGTAAGATCGTCATGTAAAGTCGTGTATGTATGTGTAGTAGTCTTGATTGGCACTAAACAAGGGAAAGCGAAGTTAACTGTACAGTACTTTGGGAGAGACCAGTGTACAACAACTTAATTGCATTTGCAGCTAGCTGTGTTTCAATCACACTGCTCACTGCATGCAGAATGCATGCAAGCGCTACGACGAAGTCGTTAAATTAGAGTTCTCCTAAAAATGCAGTTACTACCACATTATATTAGGAGTAAAGAATTGAAGAAGAATACTAAAATAGCACGTACTCAGATGCAGCTAGCTAGTCAGAACCGATCGGAGTGTCATTTACTTTCCTAGACGCGTACTCCGTGAAGTTAAAATTTTGAAAAAATTAGACGCGGTAGTATATATATTACCGTGTATATTTGCAGGCATTTTTTTTACGACAGGAGCATGCCAAATGGCGTCATTCATGCCTAGGCGACGGTACAGTCCAGCATGCAGTAGGGAGTGTGTACCGTGTACCCCCCAATTAACGAGGCGAGGCTTAATAGTAACAAAACCAATCTCGGCCCAGAACCTACGTGCGTACGCGCGCGAGTTCCGTCCGTATGGCGCGCCGTTCAAATTTTTCCAAACTCTCCCTTGCTCCATGATGATGCACGCATGAGATATGCATGGGCCGGCTCCCCTGAATGAAGCCAGCGGATAGATACTCGTATTCATGAATGCTCGCTGACGATGATTGCAATTGCAATTGCAACCCGCAAGCCCTGCCTGTGGCCCCTCCTGGCTCCGAATCGAGATCCTGTGTCGGCCACGACGGATCGGAATCCATGCGTGGCATTCGTGCACGGCTCCACCACTTCCATTCTTCCAACGTGCTTCGTTCTCGTGTGCATGCGCGTACTACGAGTACCTCGGCATGGAGCGCAGCGCAGCAACACCGCGCGCGCCACGTGCACGCACTTCAATCCCGATCGAGGATTTTAATTCTGCTACGAGCGGCACAAGAATTTTGAAACCACCTCCGCCGGGCTCCGAGATCCGGCATATCAATGTTGCACTGCTCCCCTCCCCCTGCGTCATTGATCGTCGTCCGTCGAGCCGGCCGGCCGGCAATCATATGGCAGCCAGGCCGATTCGCCATCGCATGGATCATGCATGGATGACGATGGTCACTTCCATCAATGCGCCCGTGAGTCGACCAGCTTCGCCGTCCCAAAGTTTTTACGACGCGGGTACGCGTAGCTTTGGAAATGCTGCATGCGGTAGAATAGTAGATGGACAGGGACAACGGATAAGAGAAGAATCATTTGCAGTCACGCAAGCGTATGTAAAGGATGGAACGGAGGCGCCCGATCCCGATCGATGCCTGGGGCGGCGACGGTCGGAGGCCGTGCGTGTCCCGACGCCGCCAGGCCAGGAGACGGAGCGCGTGCGCGCGTGCCCAGGCGCACGTCCGTCGTCGGTCATAGGGAACGCGTGAGGCCACGCTGCACATTTACTCTACTCGTGCACGGGGCGGTTTAATACGCCCCCTACATACCACTGCTACATGCCTACATCCATCCTGGACGACGACGACGATGCGCGTGCTACGTACTCGATCAGCTGGGAGCTACTCCGTAGTGGACTCATGCATCCATCATCAGTTCATCACCCCCGGCCGCTTCATTTCTAGTACTAATTAAGTACTAGCTGTGTGCACGTGCCTTCATTGGCTGGGTCACGATCTGGCCGTTTGGCTGCAGGATCGCGGGCACACCACACATGCGTTCAACTTCAATTCAACCCATCACTTGTTGTAAAAAATAAAAAAAAACATCACCATTCGCCAACGTCTAGTGATCGAGCCGATCGAATTGTTGTTGGCGATCCTCGCGCCACGATTCAAATGGTCGATAGGGTGGGGCCTGTCTCCGGGAATCTACAGCTGATATATTCGACTAGTACCTATATACGGATATTTGTTCAGTGTACACTGTACACGCTACACGTATGTACTCGAGCGCAAGCATTAATACGCGCAGGAGCAGGCGGCCCAATAAAACGTGGAGGGAAAAACGAAAACGTGCCAGTGCAGATAGCGCAGACGACGCAACTCTGCAAGCAAACACGTACATAGTTCAGGACTCAACATTTCAGCGGTGCCATTCGTCCTGTTCACTTGGGCTTGTTTGGCTGATAAGTTATGGCGGAAAGTATTATTGACTGATTTGGTGTGAGAGAAAAATACTGTTTGTTGGCTGAAAAAGTACGAATTATAAGCCAAATAAGCCCAAGCAAACAGGCTGTGGCTCTCGCCACTCGTCATCAGGGAAGTTCAAAACTTTCAGGGCTACCTGGGCATACTGTTGTGTGTTGTCGTACTGTTTATCTCTTCTCGCCCATCCATCCATGGCAGGTTCAAAATTCCCACCACAATGCAAGCAGCAGCAGGTCTTGGCGCTGCTGGCCACGCCGGCGACGCCAAGCACTGCACCGCACGGCGGCCGGCGGGCCAGAGTACCGGAGCTGAATCCAAGACGGATTCCCTTCCCCTCAGCCCTCAGGCTCAGGGACCAGGACCAACGCGCCGCCGCGCGGTGTCCGTCACGCGACCAGCGTATCACTGCCCGTTGCCGCAATTACTCCCCGGTCGAGGGCGGGACACCACACCATGCAGCCATGAAGCATCCAGCTTGTGAACTGCATCGTACTTCCCCGCTCTCCATTAACAAGTGGCATCACCTGTTATTAAAAAAAAAACAAGTGGGATCACCAGCTACAAGCCTACAACACGACGCCACCAGTCTGGTCCCGACAAGATCAGCAGGAAATACGGTTGCAGCATCGCCGCACCGTCTCGTTTCATCTCGACAGCCTTGCAACCTCTATTACAGTTACAGTTACAGCACATACAAAAGAAAAGGAGAATTACATTCCAAATGCAACGAGTATTTTATTCTTACAAGATAAGCTTGCAATGCAGCAGGCGCAGTAATTAAAACAACAGCAGGTGCAGTAAAATAATCTCACTTCGTTTGTTCCGCTAAACAGTCCGTTACAACCGAACACATGTTCAAATGTCTATCAAAACTGCTAAAACAGCATGGCAACAACTATGGACTATCGACCACGAATGATTTTTAATATATAATCTCTTTCAC